TTGCAAGGAGCCCAGCCCTCTGAGCTGCAGAAGTCGGGGTCCTGTGGGGAGCAGAGAGCATGTGGCCCTGCCTGATCAGCCTCTGCAGGCAGCACGTGCCGCTGCTGGCTCCCTACTCCAGGGAGAGGAAGGCACCGTCAGGATAATTGTGCTCCCAAAATAGCTCGCTGGAAATTGTCAGCCTTAAGGCCCTGGGGAATCAGGTGAGAAGCTAATAGTGGGCTCATCAAAGCAGCAGGGAAAGGGGGTCCTCAGAGAATTAGACATGTTCATTCTGTCCCTCTCTCTCCTACCCCCAGGTCCTCCCCAAGGGTGTCCTCCCATAGAGCTGGTCTGCTAAACCCTCCTCACCCAGGGTTGTAAAATAAAGGTTTAGGGTATTATATTTCCCAGGGGCTTTTGCATTCTAATGCAGACTCTTGAAATTTGAAATTCTTTCAGCCTGGAGGAATAAATCTCTGAATAGGGAGTGGTGAAGGAGGGAGATGATTCAGGGACACAATGAAAAACACCTTTACTAAGTGACTGTTGTTTAGTTTTAAAGTCCAACAAGTCTGGGTTTGAGTGCTTCCTGTGTGATCTTAACTAGGAGCCTCAATGCCCCTGTCTGTAAAATGGGGACATGATGCTTAACCCATATGGCTGTTAGCTCAAAGTCTGGCACAGTGTCTCAAGGCCTCCAAGTAGGACTAGCTGAAAAGACTTCTGCGGACCCTTTAGCCAAGGACCAGGGTTGGTTCTGATGGTCTGAGCCTAGGTTGGAGTGTTTATCTGTAGAACCACGACCAGCAACCAGGGGCAGACAATAGTGGAGGGATAGGCCAGAAAGAAGGAACAAATGAAACAACCAAGGCTTTGATGCAATTATGTTTATAAGTTGGTGTTTTGTTTTATTTTGTTTTTTCCTCCCAATAAGGAAGACTGAGAAAATGTGACAGCATTGAGCACTTAGAGTAGAAAGAAAGGGGGGGTGGTGGTGGTGGTGGTTGCTCTCTGTTGTCCTCGTATTCTTGTGGGCGGCGTAGTAGGATGATCTGCTGTGGTGAGTTGTTGACGACCCTGGTGAGGAATGATGCGCCCTTATTACTACTATAGTAGAGTTGTTTGGTGGTCGTAGTTGGTGGTTGTTGTCCTCGCTGCTCCTGAGGCTGCTGCGGCGGGGAGGCGGCACATGGTGGGGGGGGGGGGGGGGGGAGGACGGACCACCTGTCCAGTCCTCACGGCCTGGGCCAGGACTCCCAAGACACACGCAGTACTGAGTGAAATGGATCAAGGGAAGGGAAGGCAGCAGACAGAGGATGTGCCTTCTCAGCAGGAGGTCTCCAAATGTGGCAGTGGCCAGTTTTAATATGAATGATGAATGGCCACGTGTAACACAAAGCTGTTGACTGCAGCTCTCACTAAAATGGGTTGGCTTTTATAAAGCTGGTGTCGCTGCTAGTCACAGAGGATGTTGAGCGAGGAGATGGATCCCAGTCAATTTGGGGGCGATCTAGCTCTGGGGCCAGCCTTCTAGAGCTGCCACCCCTCCACAACATCCAGCCAGCCCCTCCCACAGGACAGACAGAGCCCCAGCAGCTCTTCAAACAAAGGCTCCAGGAGAAGCAGAGAGCCTGGGGGGCAGGGGTGGCTGCTGTGGGCAAAGTCAGCTGCCTCCCAGCAGGGTCTTTAGGGAGAGATGAGACCCCAGACTAGGCAGGCCAGAACCCCCAGCCAGGTGGGGTCTCTTCACACCCTCTGCCTAGAATTCTCTTCCCCTGAGTCCTCACCCTTCAGATTTCAGTTCTGGCGACACTTCCTCAGGGAGACCTTTTCTGACCAGTCCTGACCCTGACATTTTCCAGCTCATGGCCGCTCTATGCACCAGGGATCTTCACTTTGCAGCTGTTAAGATTACAGTTGTAATTTTACATGCATTTGTGTAGATTTAAAAAAAAAAATCAATGACTGTCTCTCCTGGTAAACTGTGAGCTCTATGAAGCAGGAACCTACACTGGCTTTGCCCACTGCCATGTCCCCAACACCTAGCTGTGTGCCTGGCACATGATAGGAGCTCTGTATATATTAATAGCTAGACCATGTCAAACTGACAGTATTCAACCATTTTTGACCTATAAAATGGCCATTTCATATGATTCATCCTAACATTAGTTGAATGAGTTAAATTAATGAGATTTTTCCTAAACACTGTCCACTGCAGCATGGAGTTCAGTACAAGGAGGTTCCACCTTGGGACACTTCAAAAGGGCAGTTTTACTGAAATTGTAAAGAACTGACTATCTGGTCCCTGGTCATGGCCTAGATTTAAGCAGCGCTCTTTGCACTTCAATGTGCATTCAAAGCCTGCTATGGTTCGAATGTTTGTCCTCTCTAAAGCTCAGGTGGCAGTACTGAGAGTTGGGGCCTTTAAGAAGTGATTGGGGCCAGGCGCGGTGGCTCACACCTGTAATCCTAGCACTCTGGGAGGCTGAGGTGGGCGGATTGCTTGAGGTCAGAAGTTTGAAACCAGCCTGAGCTAGAGCGAGACCCCATCTCTACTATAAATCGAAAGAAATTAATTGGCCAACTAATATATATAGAAAAAATTAGCCGGGCATGGTGGTGCATGCCTGTAGTCCCAGCTACTCAGGAGGCTGAGGCAGGAGGATTGCTTGAGCCCAGGAGTTTGAGGTTGTTGTGAGCTAGGCTGACGCCACGGCACTCACTCTAGCCTGGGCGACAAAGTGAGACTCTGTCTCAAAAAATAAGCAAAAAAGAAGTGATTGGGTCATGAGGCCTTGGCCCTGATGAATGGGTCAATCCATTCAAGGATTAATGGGTTAGTGGATTAATGGGTTATCATGGGAGTGGGAATGGTGGCTTTATAAGAAGAGGAAGAGGGACCTGAGCTAGCACGCTCAGCCCCCTTGCTATGTGATGCCCTCAGCCACCTCGGGGCTCTGCACCAGCAAGAAGATCCTCACTAGATGCAGCCCCTCAACCTTGACTTCTCAGCCTCTGCGACTATAAGAAATGAATTTTCCTTCTTTATAAATTGTCCAGTTTCAGGTGTTATAAGCAACAGAAAATGGACTGGGACAGAGCCCCTTGGGATCTTATTAAAGTGCAGATTCTGATCCAGCAGGTCCAGGATGTGGCCTGAGATTCTGCATTTCTAATAAGCTCCCGATGGTGCGGATGGGGCAGTGGCCAAAGGGAGGGAAGCCAAATTTAGTGAGTGCTTGTACAGAGGCTGCACCTTCCATGACAGGAAAACATGACAGGTTTATTGCACAGATAAAAAAGTATTAACAGGTCCAGATGTTCTCATTTCATTTCATTATATCTTGCATCAGCAAAATCTTCCTGCGAAAGCTACTATTTTAAGTGACACTTTGCAACAAGTCATAAGCATTGTTAACCATATTCCTGCAAATGCAGCATGGCATCATCGGTTTTGTAATATGCTTAAGTTGAACGATGACATATTCAGTGTGGATTTGCTGTATCATTCTAAAGTGTATGGGCTATTGCAGGAACAGGTGTTAGCCAAGATTTTATTTCTGTGGGAACAGAGAGTTAAATTGTTTTGAAGAACACCATCAGTGATGTGAATTATTGAAAGATGATTTCTATAGGAATGCAGCATTTCTATGTGATATCATGTCAAATCAAAATGACTTGAACATTTCTTTGCAAGGTAAAACTAAATCTGTACATGAAGCTATCTTTTCTCAAAACACTTCTCTTCAAAAGGAAATTTTGGATGAACGCTTTCCTCAGTTAGCAAAAGTCACTCATGAGCAGGATGACATATGCAAATCATATGAAGAATACGCAGCTGTTATAGACCAATTAATTGGAGAATACAATGAAAGGTTCACTGACTCTGAGAATCACGACATGACACTCAAATTAGCATTTCAGCCTCGCCTAGTTGATATCACCAAGGCACCTAAAGAACCACAGATGGAATTGATGGAGTTCTCAGTAGATGACATTTTAAAGTCATTGTTTGATGCTAAGAAAGATCCAATTGAAATATGGAAGAATGCAGTAGAACTTCCGTGCCTTTGGCAACATGCCTAAAAAAGGCTTTCTTGCTTTTCAACCATTTATTTCTGTGGATCTACATTCTCCTACCTAATTCAAACCAAGACACCCTTAAGTTCACAAATGACTGACGCCCATCTAGAGAATCAACTGCAACTGCGGACCTCCATGCTGCAACCAAATACTCAAATGCTTTCCAACAAAAAGAAGACACAGCAAAGTCTTAAAAGGTTAACTTTAAAATTAACAAATAGTTTTAATTTTTTGAAATTATTAAGTACACAGTAGTTAGATTTTTACAAAGCAATGTATCTTTTCCAGAAACAATGAAGCTTCTAGAATGCAGCCTTATTTGATTATAGCTAAATTAATGTGGCCTTCCATCATGAAAAGTTTCCCCATCCCTGCTGTAAACAATATATTAATAATCAATTTTGCCTGTCCTTGAATTTTATGTAAACTAAATCCTACGTATATATTTTTTGAGAATAGTTCCTTTTGCTGAACGTTGTATTTTTAGATTCATCTGTGTTACCACATGTGGATTTCATATGTTCTTTTTCTCTGCTGTATAATATTCCATCACAGATGATACCACAATGCATTCATTCACTTGATGGATATTTGAGGAATTTTGAGTACTGCTACAAACCACACTGCCATGAATTTTCTGGTACACGTCTGCTGTAACCAGTGCAAGAATTTCTCTCTGCACATGCTTAGTTATGGCACTCCTGGATCCAGGACTCTGCACAGGCTTAGCACTCCAAGGGGCTGCCAAACTAGTTTCCAAGTGATTAGTCTCCCACCAGCGATGGAGGGGCTCCCCACTGTGTTCACCAACACCAGATACTGTCCCACTGTTTGCTTTTTCCTAACTTTTCATGAGGCCTAGGGTTTTCAGGACACCCTCCCCCTTTCTTGTACTGGGCTGTGACATGGAGTAGTTACTGTCACGCTAAAAGGGCTCCCATGCTGGCCTTCTCCATCTGCTTGTTATTCTGGTTTTGTCTCTGCCCTTAACACAAACGGACACCTGTCTTCTCGTTCCTGGCAGAGTGTCAGTGTCTCCTCTCCTGGGGTGCTCTTTCTTATCTGCTGCGGAATGGGACGTTCCTCACCCAGATTGTTCCCTGTATTGTGTCCGCCTATAGGAAGAACAAATGGGCTCTGAAGGAGGGTCAGAATGGCTTGCCCGTGAGTAAATACATAAACTCCAGGGGCTGAATTCTGTGATATTCATTTCGGCTGTGAATAGTGTTTTTTGCTTTGTTTGCTTTGAGGGTTGTTGTTTGTCCATTCACTTGTTTTGGGGGGTTTTGCTGGGTTTTGCTCCTTTTCTTGTTGCTTGCAGTGTTCCAATGGCTGAGCTTGCTGTATAAATCATCTCTGAACAAGTGAAGGGCTGCTACCCTTTGAATAGATTTCTATTTTAATTTTGAATTAATTTAATTAAAATTGTATTTAATTTTGGATCCTGTTTCCTCCCCCCTCACCAAAAAATATCATGTCTTCAACTAGCAGATGGTGCAGATCCCCATCATGAGAGACACCAAATAATCCAAAGAACTCAATTCTGCCCCCACTAGAAGCATCTGCAGAGACAAAAGCGTTAGAATAGTCTGAGTTTTAAATGGAATTCATGTGTCACACTGAGTTAACAGATTATTCAGAGGACTAATTGGATGGCTAAGCCAACCATCTTGGTGAAATCTTATTCTTAAAAAAGTATTTTGACAGGGGCTAAGGCTAGGTTACTGACCAACTCTGCCAGGTGTAAACAGAAGGAATTTATTAACAGGATATAGGATCATTCACAGAATCATCAGGTGAATTGGAGGCCCAGGGTTGAGGCCATGCAGCCAAAAATAGTACTCAAAATCATGTGGCAGAGGTGACTCAGTGAGGACCCGCAGCTGACACCAAGTGCTGGGCATTTCACCTTGCCTCCCCCACTCTCCTAGCTCTAGACACTGGATGCAACCACTGCTGCCCCAGGAACTCGAGCTTCCTGCCGAGGCTGCCTTGACCAGAGAGTCTGCCTTTTGTAGCAAGTGGCTGTGGTCTGGCTGCAAGAGAGGCTGGGAAGACAAATGTGTTATTAAAGCTTGAGTTCTGCTCTATGTGATAGAAAGCAAAATAGTTTGGGCTTAAACAAAATAGACATGTATTTTTCCCTATGTAAAAATGTTGAAGGCAAACAGTGCTAGGCTGCGCTGAAGCACCTTCAATTCTGCCTTTGCATGCTGCCTTAGGGACCAGTGGGGCTGCTTGTGAGCTTGCCATCAAGTCCACATTCCAACCATCAGGAAAGAGAAAGGGGTAAGCAGGATGACTCCTCTTTTTAGAACCAATTCCTGGAATTGCACACATTATTTACATCTCAGTGGTTGCAACTTGGTCAATTGGCCACTTCTAACAAACAAGAGTCCGGAAAGTGTAATCTTTGACTCAGGTAGACACATGCCCAGACAAAGTTTGGGAGTTTTCTTACTAAAGAAGAAAGGGAGAATGGACATCAAGGGAGGCCACAGGTGGTGTCTGCCACAGCAAGTTCTTAATATTTCTATCTTTGGAAATGAGCTATGAGCCCTGTTCCTTACCATGGTTCAGACAAGTGTGTGGGGTGGGGCTGGGATGCTCCCCAAACACAGAAAGGGGGTTGGAAACTAGACAACCGAAAAGAATAGAGTGAACACAAAATGGCCATTGCATCATTTTTTCCTCCCTTGCTGTAACTATGGTAGGCTTATTAACCGACACGTAGTATTAGAGAATTTGAATGAAGGTTTTTGGCAGAGAGGACTGGGATATGGAGCAAAAAGAAACTTGGAGGCACAGTCAGACATAAAGGCATCCATGCCATGCAGTCTGCATTCTGTCACAGGCTTGTGGGAACAGGGCAAGAATTCAAATGAAAATTCACATGCCATGGTTCTAAATATTTAAAAGCTATAAGTCAAGCTAACAAACTGTTAAATAAAATATGTATCCTCCTCCTACCTTCACAAATGTACCTTTGTAACATTCTGGAAGGCCAAGCATGACTTTAGAATTCGCAGACTCTTCAGACCAGGATGTAGCAAGCCAGGGAGAAGCAGTCCCCGTTCAGGGCCTGTCCCCTTGAGTTCCTGCCACCAACCAGGGGCCTTGCCCACATGCACGTGCCTGACACCAGCCTACACCTCCATGTGCTGTCCTTCCTGCCCAGCCCCAAGCAACCATTCCTCCGCCACTGGTGGAACAGGCCACCTTGAGAGGGTGAACCGCGGGAACGGGCCCTGGGAGTGGGCTTGGGCCATCCAGGCAGAGATTCTGGGGTCCCGAGTATAAGGACATCGGCTGGACGGGGAGGTGTGGGCATGGCCCCTGCTCGGGCATCTCCCTTGGTCCTGAGGACCTCTCACTCCAGGGACCAAGGCTGAAAGGCTTGTTCATTGAGTGAATTAGAGTGAATTAGCTGGAAGCTATTTTGAGAGTTTTCCTTATTAGATCCGGGATCTGCAGCTTGCCTCTGGGTTACTGAGGATGGGAGGGGGATTGCTGTAGCCATGACTGCACTGGGGGAGGATTCAGCACTAACTGCTTCTGTCTTCCCCTCTGGAAACAAACTCGAACTAAAAAACCAAAACCAAAATAGAACAAAGCAAACAGAAATGCCTCTTCCTTTCCTTGACACAGTCAGCCCATTTCTCTCCCGGTTTCCTCCTGCTCCGGTGCCCTCCAATCCGGCTGTCTCCCGTCGTGTCATTCTGCATTTCTCTGCTCTCTCTCTTCCCTCCGCCCTCCTCCCCTGGCTCCCGTCTTAATCCCTGCCATAGCGACAGGGAAAAAAACAACATAACATTGGGGCAGATGAGAGCTGAGTTTCAGAGCCCATCCGAGAAGCACAGGCTAGCAGGGGACCAGAAATTTCCATAACGAAACAGACCAGAGGAAAACCTTGAAATCTTGGCGTGGTGATGAGGAAAACCCTGGGGTTGGAGGAGGAAGGGGCATTGTAAAGCCCAGAGGAGGCTGATACAAAAATAAATAAATAAATAAGGAGGGGGTGCTCTGGAAAGGTGCTAAAAGGTGCATCTAGTTGCCCCTAGTGCCACATGGCTCTTGACCACCCCCAAACCGTCACCATCCTATGGGATGAATTAGCAGAGGGAGAAGTTCCAGGGTGGGGGAGCGGACATCAGGAAAACTGAGACGCCTCTTCTGAAGGGACATAAAAGGTTAATAATTTTGTGAAATTATTAATCCAAGCATTTCAGACCTGGTGGGCTGGGAAGGGGTTAAAAATCCCAGGGAGCAAACCTGAGGTAGTTAGAAGGGTGTGGCCCCCAAACCTATAGACTTTAGAGGCACGAAAGCTGATGAATGCGCTTCTGGCCACAAGACAGGACAGGTGAGAAGAAAGAAAGGACGGGGATCTGGTTTGTGTTTCCTGGAGAGGGGTGTAGTCACGGCGCTCCCGGGGAGCACACACGCCCCCCGTAAATGTACGCCAGCCCTGCTCTCCGCTCCCGCCCCGCCCTAGCGTGCTCCCGGTGGCTGGCTCCCTGGCCTTCTGGCACTCGGGGCGGCCGACACCTGCCAACAGCAAGGAAGCCGGGTACTGGGGCTGCAGCTTTTGGAAGCTGCTTATGAAACAGATGACTAAGCCCTGGGGGCAGGAGGAGGGTGCAGCTAATGCCTAGCTCAGCAAGAACTCAATCCAAGTCAGCCTTGAGCCCGCGCCAACCGTGCGCCAGGCTAGTCCCCGGGGACGTGAAGACGACGGGGCGTGGTCCCCGCGCCGGAGGACCAGGCATGCTCACGAAGAACCGTGATCAGAGGCATGAATCCACAAAAGAGGAGCGTGAAGGGGTTGGCAGTGGAGATGACTTCACCGGGGACGGCGACAGGGGCAGAAGGAGGAAGGAGCGCTTCTCCATTTGTGCAGTCGGGCTGAGAGTTTCAGACTCTTCCCAAAGCACGTCCTCTTCCTCATGCCCTCTTATCCAGTTAGGCTGGCTTCTGTCACCTAAGTGACCCTTAAATTTGTCCCCTTCTTCTGTCTCGGCTCAGGCCCCCAGTTCTGGTCTTGGTCCAACATAGGCAACTTCCACCACTCAGGTCGCCAGCACACTCCCCTCCTTGAAAACCTTCTGTGGTTTCCTTCTGCCCCAGAATAAAGCCTGAGCCCCAAGGTCCCTCACGCTGTGGCCCAAAGCTGCCTAAGGCCTAGGGGTAGAACAGGCTTCAGTGTAGGCTTAACTCAATGGCTCAACCATGTCATCAAAGCCCCTGCTTCTTTCTGGCTGTTGTCCTTTCTGCCCTCCTTGATGTTGTCTTCATGGTAAGGCAGGTTTTTCCTCAAGGTGATGAAATGGCTGCAGCAATTCCTGGCCTCACACCCATACTCCTTGCCACATAGAAGAAGAAAGAAAGAGAGAATCTGAGTTAGTCCATTTTGCATTGCTCTAAAGGAATTAACCGAGGCTGGGCAATTTTTAAAGAAAAGAGGTTTATTTGGCTCATGGTTCTGCAGGCTGTACAGGAAGCCTGGTGCCAGCACCTGTGTCTGCTGAGGGCCTCATGAAGCTTTTACTCCTGGTGGAAAGCTAAGGAGCAACAGGCGTGTCACATGATGAGAGAAGGAGCAAGAGAGAGGGGAGAGATGCCAGGCTCTTTTAAACCACCAGCTCTCCCGTGAACTAATAGAGGGATAACTCACTCATTACCTCGGGGAGGGCACCAAGCCATTCATAAGGGATCCGATCTCAATACCCAAACACCTCCCACTAGGCCCCACATCCAACATTCGGGATCAATTTGAACAGGAGAGTTGGGGGTTTTTTTGTTTTGTTTTGTTTTGTTTTACTTTGTTGCTCTGTCACCCAGGCTAGAGTGCTATGGCATTAGCCTAGCTCACTGCAACCTCAAACTCCAGGGTTCAAGCGATCATCCTTGGCATGCACCACCATGCCTAGCTAATTTTTATTATTTTTAGTAGAGACGGGGGTCTCACTCTCACTCAGGCTGATCTCAAACTCCTGAGCTCAAGCGATCCTCCTGCCTCGGCCTCCCAGAGTGCTAGGAATACAGGCGTGAGCCACCGCACCTGGCCTGAATGTGAGATTTGGAAGAGACGAATATCAAAACAGTACTAGCTTCTTTCTCTAGCGCTGCCAGTCAATCTTTTCCAGTCTCTCGGGTCAGAATTAGGTCACTTTGCCCATCTTCAGGTCAGAAGGGATTGTGCTGATTAGTCTAGAGTGGGGCTACTGGCCCCACCCCTAGGGGCTGGGTGGAGTCAACTTCCTCCAGAGTATATGGGAAGTGTGGGGAGGGTGGATACCCAAAGGAAAATGGGGTAGTTGACAAGAGATAATGGTAATTGAGAAGGCCCCTCTTCCTGCGTCTCCTCCCCGCAAGCCCCTCCCAGCTACTTCCCATTCCCAAGTGTGCTGTGTTCTTGGATGTCTCCTAAACCTTAGCACATGCTTCCCCTTCGCCTGGGATGGCTTTTCATTCCTCGTGCTCAGCGAATGCCTACTCATTTTTCAAGCCCTCGCCCACCGTCACCTTCTCTATTATTTAGATAGTGCAGTCACCTTAAGGACAGAAACCAGGTGCCTATTCACTAGTACCTGGCTCACAGTAGCTGCTCAATAGATGCTTGCCAAGGGAATTAATGCTACTGATGAGACAACAGAGTTTCCAAAGTCTACAAAAAAAGAACCAGTGTGTCTTCAAAATCTCTTCCCAAAGACTAAAATGGAACAAATTTGAGCAGAGTTTTAATGTGCGAGGCCACAACGATGAGTTCAGGCATGTGGAAGGGCAGGACTTTGTCCAAGGGTGTCCAGTGTCGTCCCAGAAAGAGAGCTCGCTCACAGGCTGGCAGGAATGTTCTAGTTCCCTTGGCAGATACACATACCTTGAAATGGAAAGGGATCTATGGGGCCATCATAGCTTGATCTATTAACCTTCTAACCATTTAGATTATCCCACTGGGAAGAGATTAAGCAGTCAGCCGACCCAGGCACTCCGACCTGGCTGGCAATTATAGTCCCATTATTCCTGAATAAATTGGCTTTCTGGGTTACCAGAAAATCTACACTTTGTTAGCATGGCTTCATCTTTGAGACCAAGGGTATCAGTTGATTCCTCATATCTGTTCTCTTCTTCTTCCTTAGTCATTGAACCCCTGAATTTTACCTGGTTACATGGTCACCTAGAATACAGACTATATTTCTCAGCCTCTCTTGCAGCTAGATGGGGCCATGTGATTATATCCTGGCCAATGGGATGCCAATAAAAGTAATATGTGTGTAACGTCTAGGAAATGCCATTAAAAGTAGGTAGTGTGTCCTTCTCCTTCCCTTTTCCTTTCCTGCTGGCTGGAATGTAGATGCACAGTGTAGATGCAGCTGGAGCTGGAGCGATCATCTTGGACTGTAGAGGAATTTGGAAATGAAGCCCATGCATGGTGAAACAATAAAAGAGAAGGAGTCTAGGTTAAATATTGTCACAAAATGCCATATCAGTAGTCCTTAAGGTCTACCTAAATATTTACATGAGAGAAATACATTTCTATCTTATAGCCACTTCCGACACTAGCAGCCACACCTAATTCTAGCCCAGTGTAATCCCCTGTGCCATCCTGTGCATGTGGCTATGGAGAACTTGAAACGTGGCTAATACAAATTGAGATTGGCTGTAAGCGTAAAATCTATACCTAATTTTGACTCAGTATGAAAAAAGAACATAAAGTATTTCATTAATAATTTTATATTGATTACATGTTGAAATTATAACAGTTTAGATATACTGGATTAACCTGTTCTTTGTACCTTTTTAAATGTTACTACTGGCAAATTTTAAGTCACATTTATGACTCACACTGTATTTTCATTGGCCAGTGCTTCCCTGGGCCTTGTCAGCTCTGTCTGAATTGATAATATCAGATCATTGCACCATGAAAAGCTGGGGAATGATCAGAAACTGAGCCCATATTCACTCACCACGGTCCAGACTCTGCCTCTGCCTCTGTCTCTGTCTGTCTTCTGCTCACTGGAATCCCTGGACCCATTTGCTACATTATCTTATCTGCAGCCAGAATAGGTGTAAAGCTTAGCACAGAGCATGGCTGAGCCCAGAAGGAGTGAGAAAACAGGAGGAGATCCATGCTGCAGTACCCAGCTAAGGCACCAGACCATCTATCTGCGCATATATGAATCACTTTCATCAGTGGCAGAGAACCAAATTTTAGCCATGCCAAGCCTTCTTGGAAGGCCTCAGAGAGGGGTTTTGTATTAGGATAAATACAACAATACACATCTTCATTTTTAATCTGTTGATTTGATGGAGGAAAAGGAGTGTGTCCATGAGGGTGGGGCACAGGTCTAAGTGAAGATTTCAGGCAGAACCATAGTAACCCATGTCTTTGTTAAAGTAAGCCACCTTGAACTTGCTTAGGCAAGTTCCTGGAAGATTCTTGGGGTGTCCATGGAAATCAGGACATGGAGCATCGGGGCTTCTCAAGGAACAGACGCTCAAGAACTGAAAGCCCTGGGAACACAGGCAGTACCGTGTTTCCCCCAAAATAAGATCTACCCATAACATAAGCCCTAGCAGGATTTCTAAGCATTTGTGCAATATAAGCCCTACCCCGAAAATGAGACCTACTGATGGGCGTGGCTACGCAGCGTATCTGCACAGCCCATGCATTTCATCGCAGAGCAGTAAACAAGACGAAGAGCCCTTCTCATCTGCCCCAGGAGAGCTCTATTGCTCGACATGAGAGACTGGGGCCAATGGTTCTAAAGGAAATAGAGTCGCAAGAAATTCAGGATGGAATTCGGGGTTTGGAGAGTTATGATGATGTTCCAGAAGAAGATGACTTAACTATATTTGAATAAATGTAGATTGTCATATTTTTAAAAAATAACACATCCCCTGAAAATAAGCCCTAGGGTGTCTTCTTGAGGAAAAATAAATATAAGACACTGTCTTATTTTCGGGGAAACACAGTACATCTCCTCGCATCTTCAGTCCGCACCTCTGTGTCATTCTCCTCTCTTCAAACCGACCTGCTCCACTTCCCTGTGCCAGTGGATTTCCTGGGCCCTCGGGAATGGGGGGACACTCCAGCTAGAGGCAGTTGCTGGCAGGGCACCAGCCAGGTCGGCCATACTTGTTCCTTTCCAGGCTCTTCCGCGCCCAGCAACCAGACTGGATATCTCCAGAAGACGAACCTGATCACACCTCTTGCCTATTGATAAGTCCTTTTAACCTCTCATTACCTTAAGGCCAAGTCCAGATGCCTTTGCGCAGCCCACAAGGTCCTGCAGGCCCCCGACCTCTCCCTGCCCTCCACGCCCGCCCCTCAGCCTCACTCGCAGCCCTCAGCCACGCATACGTGACGTCTGCTCTCTGATGTTCCTTCCACCTTCCCTTATGCTATTCCTTCTGCCCAGAACCTTCTTCCTCCTGCTCCCTTCCATCTGATTGGCTCCTTCAGGGATCAGCTAAAATGTCACAGCCTCAGGGAGGCCTTGGTGACACCCAAGCACCGGCCAGGCCTCCACTTTGTGATCTCACCACTCCTCTGGGCCACTTGTCACCATCTGTGATCGAGCACATGTTGTGTGCTGTTTCATGTCTGTCTCCCGCCCAGACTGTAAGCCCCAGAGGAGTGAAGCCTGGGTCGGGCTGGGCTCCTGCCTTATCCCAGCGACTGAGCGAGGAGAACTGATAAAATATGTGTTGAATGAATTAATGCAATAGAAAATGACTGGGAAACCACCAATATGAAATGGAACAGAACAACCCAGAAGCAGAGGGAGGAGACATAAATGCGCAATGACAACCAATGACAGACAGAACTAGGGATGCTCAGGAACATGGGAAGCGGACCCTGGGACCAGAAATCCTCCTGGCCTTTCTGCTGTAGAATGTTGGCAGCACCATTGATCTCCTTGGAGAAGGTGCTGACCTGAGGTAGATTTTAGTACTCAGAGGGACCAACTTCACATTCCCAGGCAGGAGCCTTGTTCCCAGTCTTGCTTAGAAAGCAGATGCTACACAAAGAGCCATTCTGTTGGTTTCGCAGAAACTCCTGTCTGGTATAGTTCTAGTCCCAGGAAAATTTGGCCTTCGTTGCTGGGTCTCAGCTTCTCTGTCTGCAAAATTATATCTGAGCAGATCAGATTCTTGCTGAAAATTAACATTCTAATCCCCCAGGTGCAGGCTCTCCATTTAGGAAGTTGTACGAGTCCAGCACAGTGTGGTGGAAAGAGCACTGAGCAAGAAGACAGAAGGCCTGACTTCACCACCTCACTGGGCCTCCCGTTCTCTGCTGTAGAAATCAGAGCCTCATGACGCTGAAATCCCTTCCACTGCCTAAAGTCTATAATT